AACGGCCACCACGGCAAAGCGCGAAATGAGGAGTCCGACGCCCTGGGCTATGAAAAGAAAGACGGCTACCTACACCGCCGCCCCGCGCCCGGCTACTGTGGGCTTCCAACGCTCGCACGCCAACCTCCCCTCCGTATCTCCCCTTCGCTCCTCCCCTTCGCCCCCCCGCGCGCCGCGCGGTCTCCTCCAGCTTCAGGGGCGGCCCTGGGAGCATCGAGAAGGCCCGCGCGGTCCACTCCTCCGAGGGGGGTGCGTTTCTTCCTTCTCGTGCTCCTCCTCCTTCCTCTCATCCTCTACCTCCTCATCCTCTCACTCCTCCTGCTCCTACTCCTCCCCGCCCTGGACTCCACGTATCTTACCTTTGGGGTCCCAAGCTTTTCGGCGTTGGAGTGCGGGAGGCAATCGAAGACTGGTGCTCAACTCGATTAGCTTTTTGTTGCCCCCCGTTTGTTGATGATCGTCGCCCCCCGCCCCCCCCCCCCCGCCCGCCACATGCACCTTCTTCTACGCGGTGCTGTGGGTGCTGCGGAGCAAGGCTCCGTGGGCGGTGGCGGTGGACGGCGGGCTTGACTCGGGATAGGTGGGGCCTCCTCTCCTTGCAGCAAGCGCTCCTCCGATAGGGGGCGGACCCCTGCCTTCGACCGAACTGGACCTCCTGCTCGGGCTACCGCCCTTGCAGGAGGCGCAACGGCCTGCGCCCTCCTCCCCACCCCGTATCCTTCACGCCTCTTCCCTTCCCGATCCTGCCTTTCCTCCCTCGCTGCACCCCCTTCTGCCCTTCCCCCCACCCCCTCCTCCTCCTCCTCCTCCTCCTCCTCCTCCTCCTCCTCCTCCTCCTCCTCCTCATTCTCTTCCGCCTGCATCCATCTCCTGTTTCTGCACCCTCCTCCTCCTGCTGCCGCTCCTCCTCCTTCTCCCCCTCCCGCTCCTCCTCCTCCTCCTCCTCCTCCTCATGTTAGCACCCTCATCCTCCTCCTTCTCATCCTTCCTCCTGTTCCATCACTCTTTCTCCTACTCTCTCCTCCCCCTTCTCCCTTGTTTTCCGTTCCTTCGCTCTTCTTCCCGTCCTCAAGTCCCCCCTGCCTATCCCGTCCATCCTACCTCCCACACTTCCTTACGCGTGTTGTTACTAACATTCGAAAGCATGCATACCGATACAGACAATCAGAATTTCGCTGGCCCCCTTGGGGGCGCCGTGCTGTGAAAGGGGGGAACTCGAGCTGACGGTTGGATCCTTCCATCCGAAGATGACCTCCGAGACAGACAGCCAGCATGCCTCCAAGAGGCCACCAGAGGTCCCCAGGAGGCTCCAAAGATGCCTCCAACAAGCCCTCAAGACGCCCCCCCGAGAGTTCTCGCCACCAGCTGGGCACGATGGCGGGTAAACGACTACATACTTTTATGCTTTCGGAGGTATGCGCGGGTTTCTTCGGTCAGCGCTGGACCCTGCTCCCCACATCCCCCGGTTGGTGTGCCCATCAGAACAAAGCACCATCCTCGCACAAGACAACCACACAATCATACGTTGACCATCTGGTGCCCCCCCCCCCAACATCTGCCCGCGGCGACAGCACAAACGAAAATTGGCCGAATGAGACATCGAAGCCGAAACCGACAGGCCGCAAGCAACCTATGGGGGCAGCGAAGCAACAACGACACAACAAAGACCGAACCGAACCGACTGCGAAGAAGCCGAAACGACCGAACCACGGACACACGTGGTGAACCAGTGCGTCTCGTGCAACTTCGAACGAAGGACAAGAAGGGGTATACTCCCGCGGGGCACGTCTGGGTCCACGAAGAGACCACCAGTGAAGTATACCGCGCGAAGGAAACCACTCCACAGCGGCGTTCCAGAGCCACATCTGCGAGGCCTCGCGAGTGTGCAGGAGCGATGGCTGACGTTTTCATGCGCGTGGCGAGCCCTCGCAGACGGAGCGCCTGAGGAAATGATACGTACCTCGGACACTGCAGCCAGAGAAACTCATCTGTGAGGCCTGCAGCGTAGGACGAGGAGAGAGAGAGAGAGAGAAGAGGATTCTCCGGGAGGCGGACGAGGAGAGGGAAGAAGAGGAGGGGGAGAGGAGCAATGGAGAGGTGGTTGGGATGGTTGCGTCCCGTGATCTCACCCGCGGCCCACCAGTGGCTGCTTGCTCGGCATCACGGTCAGCTCCAGCACGTTGGAGCTCAGGGGCATCACGGACATCTGGACGGCACACGTGGCGACGTCCTCGGCGGGGATGAAGCCCTCGGTGACGCGCCGTCGCTCTGCCTCCTCGGGCGACATGAGGGGGGATTCCACGTTGCCGGGGTGGATGATGCTGACGCAAATGTTGTGCGGCCGCCCGTCCAAGGCCAAGCTCCGCGTGAGGCCTGCCACCGCGTGCTTGGAGGCCGTGTACGGCGCGGCGTCTGCGCGGGGCCTGTCCACTGCTATGCTGCCGATGTTGATGATGCGGCCGCCCCCGGCCGCCTTCATCTGCTTGAAGGCCTCGCGAGCACACAAGAATGTACCCAGCACGTTCACCGTCATCACCTTCCAGAACGTGTCACCGGACAGCTCAATGGTGGGGCCGCCAAGCATAATGCCGGCGCAATTCACGAGCAGATAGCACGCGCTACACTCGTCCAGCACGCGCTTGAACAATGTCACCACGCTCTGCTCGTTTGTGACGTCCGCCACCATAGGCACCACACGGCCATGGTTCGCGACGCCCGCGGTGGCCTCCCGGATGTCGGTCGCCGCCTGCTCCAGCTGCTCCAGCCGCAGGTCGGTTATCACTACGGTCGTCCCCTGCCTGACAAGCTCTTTCGCCATGGCCCTGCCCACGCTAGAAGAGCAAAACGCAACGCAGACCCAATCTTGGGGCGGCGCCGGACCCCCTCCCCACACCCCTTCCCTGGCGTGCGGGGGGTCGGGGAAAAGCCGGGGGTGGCGCTGGAGGCGACAACAAGGGTCTGGAGGGGGGCCCAGCGGACCCCAGAAATACGCGCGGATCTCCGACAATTTCAGTTTATGCCGCTTTCCCAATACCTGGCGTCTTTTTTTTTTGGGGGGGGGGGGGGGGAAATATGTGCCACCAAGACATCCCGACCCGTTGCCAAAAGCCAGTTATCGTCCTGACTTGTTTCCCGACGGTCCTGGGGCTGGCGAGGGATCCCATGAGGCCGAAGATGGCCTTTTAGTTTGTTTTCGCAACGCTGGACGCCTAGACCTATGCGCGTGCCACTTTTTGCTCTTCGACATGCAGCCAGCGCCCCCAGTCACGACGGCGGTCTTCTCGGGTGCGCCAAAGAGGGGGGCCAGGAAGAGGAGGGGTGGCGCATCATGGCCCGAGGCATGTGCGCGGCATGGGGCGTGTTGAAAGAAGAAGAAGGTGCCATGAGATCGGGGAGATTTCGTGGCCGCGGCCATGACATGCACCAGACCCGCTAATCTTCACCCGCTCGCTTCGACGCCTTGTGGTTTTCGGGTCACAGCTCGGGCCTCCTTCGGCGGCCGTTCGTGACGACGGAAAGACCCCGACAACGAACAGCTGCTGGAAGGCATCCCGTGGCCAGAAAACATCCCAGAACCAGTGGGAACTGCCTCCAACAACCAGGAACACGTCTTCACCCCCACAATCTTGACCACCTCAAGGACGCCCCCGAATCTTCGCTGCCAGGCGGCCCCCGCGCCCCGCCGGGCTTCGTGAGCGGTCGTCGGGCATGGCTGGGGCGGGAGCGTGCCGACCAGGGGGCTGCTGCCGTCGGCTGGGGCGCTGCTTTAGAAAAGACTTTCGCCAAGGTGGCTTGTGCCGACGGGGCCGCGGAGGGGCGGGAGGGGGCAGAGGGAGACGGGACGCTGGGGATGCATGACCAGGAAACAAGGGGTGAGGTGGAGAGCGCAGGAGGATGGATTAGCTGCAGGAGTCCGAAAACAAATGGAGAGGGATGCGGAGGATACGGTCGAGGCAGAGGAGGATAATCAGCAGGAGGATTATGAGGAGCATGGCAGGACTAGCAGGATAGGAAGCATGCGAAGGGGAGGAAGTGGATAAAGAGGACACAAGGACTAGGACATCCGCATGGGGGGGTAACGTCAGAGCACCTACACGGGTGGTCTACGCGCCATGGCCAAGATCCCCAGCGCTTGGTTGTGCTACGTCCCTGCTTTATCAGTGGGGCCGGCAGGGGGCATGCCCCGAAGCCCAAGGACCGAACTCCGAAGTGGCCCCGTAAGCGAGGTTCGCTACCTTACATCGCGAGTCCCATCGGGCCAGTGCGGGGGGAACAGCTGCTGGCCCTTCCGTGTGCCCTAGGGGACGGGGCGCGCGGGCTTAGCAGGGCGCCCAAGCCGAGGGCGGGGAAGAGACGACGACACGACCTCAAAAAGAGGGGAGAGGGGAGAGACGGAAGGCCCGAGACCCCAAACTGTTGCTGGGGGGGGCTCCTGCTACCTCTACATTTTGAATTCCGTGCTCCCCTCTCCGCTCAACTCACTTCTCGGTCATTCCGAGAGATGCTCCATGAGATGTCACTCTGCTCTGGTACCCTGTGAGGTAGCTCAGTTCCCCCCCGGAGTGTGTGAGGTAGAGCGCGCAGGAAGTCACGGTCATAGGTGGGGCCAATGAGGAGCACGCAGGTGGGCATCACGATGATCGCCGTTTTTCCCCCCCCACACCCTGCGGATGTGTACCTGATGGTACTCCAAAAAATACTTCCGATTTCGATGGCGGTACAGGCGTACTGTCGTGCCTAAGTAGTCTGCCATGAGCAGCACTCCGAGAAGCCTCGCTAATGCTTCTCCTGGCTGCATGTGGGCACGGCCAGCTCGCAACTTGCCTAGATCATCGCTCCGAGATGCCTCGCTTATGCTTTCTCTTGGCAATCTGGAGGCCCCAGTGGGCGCGCTCGTTGGTGGCCGCTCGAGCTGGCCGCCGTCGCCTCTTCCGACTCGGGGTAGCCAAACTTCTCAGCGAAGATCTCGGTGCCATCCAGCATGGTCTGGGTGCTGTCCCTGAGCTTCTGGCGCCCCCTCAGCCTCTTCACTTCCTCTGGGTCTATGTTGTCCTCGTTCATCAGCTCACTCATGGCGACTTTCCTTACTTTGTGGAGGTTATCCCCGTCATTCTCCGCGGTCCTCAGCGCTAGCTTGCGCCAGATCTCACTGTGAAAGCCTTCTTCCCGTGTCTCTCCCATTGGTCCACTGGGTCCCCCGCGGCGAGGTCGCAGCCGTCGATCTTGCGCGTCGCCGGAGAAAACAATGGGAGCGCATCGAATGGCTCCTCTGGGCTCATCATCTTGGCCGCGTCGAAGGGCTCGCAGCGGCGCTCCTTGATGGCGTCGTCGAACTGCTGCGGCAGCCTTTCCGCGGTGAGCGCTTGTCATGCGGTTCCCACTTCGAGCTCCACTACCATCGATGGCCAGTCCTTGAACGGGAAGAACTTGCTCTCGCACCCGATCTTTGGCCATTGATCGCAGTCTGGTCCAAGCGTGTTCTTCATTATGTCCACCCATTCCGCCGAGAGCAAGTCCTTCGGGTGATTCTCCTGCGCCTTCACTAGCTGCGACCAGTCCACCTTGCACTGGAACTGCCACTTGTCGCTCCTCGATTTGGGGCCGGGGCCTCTCCGCCGCAACTTGTTCGGGAATGCGAGCTCGCGCGAGCAAGCTCCCGCCCTTTGCGCCCCTCCTGCGTGCGTTGAATTGCTGCGCCTTGTCTTGTCCGCGAAGTCCAGCGCCTTGAAATGCTCTGGCTGCTGCTCGCCCTTCCCCTTCGCCGTCCTGTAGTCGCCAATCTCGCGCATCTCTCTCTCTCTCTCTCTCTCTCTCTCTCTCTTTCCCCATCCAACTCTTGTTCTGCCACCTTCAGCGCTTCTTCGTCATTTGCGTTCATGGCCACGTGCTTTTCGCACAGGAGCTCATATTCTACAGCGCAGCGAAGGGCCCCCGCCATTCCCGCTTCTGCTTTGCTGATGGCTGCAGGTATTCCCATGTAATTTAATTTTGTACCTTCCAGCAGCGCCCTCGCGATCTCCTTTGACTTCTGGATCGCGGTTTGCTTTCTTTGGCCTCCTTCTTCTGCCGGCTGAATCTGAGCGGCTTTGATGTGTCCGAGTGCCCGGGCCGCGCATGGAGCTCCTTTCGCCTTCCGCTTCTGTTATCGGCAGACCTGCTCTCTCTTGTAATCTACTTATCCTCCATGCAGCGCCCTTTCTTCTTCGCCCCAGTCGAGGGGCGGAAAAGGGGGCTTGCCGTGGCTAGGGGGGTGAGGCGGCGAAGGGCGACAATGATGAATCTGAATGTCAGTATAAAGGTGATGCATGCATGATGATGGTGATGAAGGTGGTGGCGATGATGCCGATGACAATGATGCCGATGATGACGAAGACAATGATGATTATGCTGGTGCTGCTAATGATGATGCTGATGGTAGAGAGTTTGATACGATGAAATTGAATATGTAGATCTGGAGGGAAATGATGAACAGGCGCGGGGCGGGAGGGCGGTGGCGGTGGTGGTGGTGGTGGGTGTGTGGTGGTGGGGGGGGGGGAGGGCGAGAGGGTGGGTGGGTGGGCGTGGTGCGTGTAGGATGATACTTCATGAGTATTTACGATGAGGTGGAAAATTGGTGGATGGATACATGCTGCTGCTGATGAAGATGAGGATAACGATGGCGGTGGTGGTGATGATGGTGCTGATGATGATGCTACTGTTGCTGCTGATGGCGATTATGACGGCGACGTCGACGACAACGACGGCGACGATGACTGTGATGATGATATTTTGGTTTCGTTTCGTTTCGGAGCCGTCGTGCTACGGGCGCCGCCAGGGCCCGACGGCGCTTATGATATACTGGGTGCGAGAAGACCAACTGCAATTAACTTATATGTCCGGGCCATTCAAGCCACGCTGTCTGTCCATCCCTCCAAGAAAGGCGAGTGTATGGAGGAGCGAGCCAGTCGTGGCCATAATACTTGTAAAGGTCACGTTCCCACCGCCAAATGCCGACGGTGCGGACGTGGAGTTGGGGGCCCTTCCACCGCTCCATGGCGGTCATCCAAACGCGATCATCATATCTAAGCGCGCGATATGCAACTCTGTCTGAAGAGGCCTCGGCGAAGGGTTGGAGATGGCCCGCCCGCGCGTGGGCGAGGCGGCGGCGCGTCAAGGGCCGCGGTTCGATATGATATCTCATGCGGGCGTCAACTACACTGGCCATGACATTCTTCATGTATTCGGCAGCCGTTTCCGCTTTCGGAGGACCTGTAATACGTCTGAGCATAGTGATATGGCGCTTAGAGATGCGGGGCATAGCCGAGACTGTGTTGTGTAGTCTATCTATACTATGAATGAGGGCAGGGCGTGCACGTCTATCGAGGGCGCTCAAGTCTTGGCCAAGGTAATCTTCGATTTGCCAGGGTATTGCTATGCGCAGCGAACGCGCGCCAAACTCTCTGGATGCGGTTGCGCACCTCGGTCGTGCAACTGCGACTGAAGGAAGACAATGCCGGGGATCTTCAGGCCCGCGGCTCTATCTCTGAAGGGGGACAAGGTACTGCGAACGCGAAGCGCGCCGATGCACGTGGGGTATGTATGGCGCCACTCATCTCATCTATAGGGGCCTCCAGACCACTCTTGTTTAAAATCCGAAGCCGCGTTTCCGTCGTCGCCTGGGCCATCGAGGCCGATCGAACGAGGGTCCAGAAATTCTCGGCAACACTTAAAATATCTAAAGTTTAATCGTCATCTGCGGGCTCAGCTCAGGCGCGCCAGGGCCCCCCTTGGATGGGGCTCTTTTCCTGTCGGATCGGATCCGTGAGGGCTTCCCCAGGGAGGCGGATGCGAGCTCTCGGTCGTCGAGTATCGCGGATCCAGAGACCCATGGCGATCCTGAAGATCTGCTTATTGTCCAGGCGCTGCGCAGCGTGGGGATGGCGGGCAATGTCGTGGAATTTGCGCATGTCTCGTCCCGCAACAACCAGGGGGCGGCTCCTATGCTCGCAGAGCTTCTCTACTAGGTGCCTCATGGTGCAGAGGGTCTCGCGCGTTTGGTATCCTCTACGAAAGGCGAATTAGAGTTCGGAGCGATTCTCTTCCAGGGTGGGCCTCTGGGTCTCCATGATCATCATGGACAGGATTATCCAGTGCACCGAGGCCAGGGCGATCGGACGAACATAAGAGATCACGAAGGCTTTACACTTCTTTCCGAATGAGCTGCGTGACGTGTTCCTGCCGGTCTCTGTCGAAACTCGGTAATGTGGTTTCGAGGTCGAAGGCGAAAAGCATCCCATAACTGCGTGAGTACATCGCCCTCCAATCCTGGCGACATCTCTCCGACTATCATGTCAGATTCGCCGCGCGATTCTCCTTTCTGCAGACGGCCTATGCAGCTCTTCAGCAGCGGCGGGGACAGCGGCGCCTCGCTCCGCTGCTCCACGGCGGTCCACTGGCGGAATATCCAGCTCGGCAGGTCCACGTCGCTGTTCGCGTCGCGGAAGGTCCTCGTAGAAAGTCTGGGTGGCGGCTTTGCGGCCGGCCGCCGTGGTCGCGCGCTCGCCATCGCGCCCCGTCAGCTCGAATATGGGCTTGCCCGGGCGGTGTGGTCTCTCAGGTCGGCCTCTGGCACGCAGGCGTTCGAAGTGCTCGGCATCGCGGCGTTCCCGGAGCGCGCGTTTCAGTTTCATGACTGGCGGGCCGAGCAGATGGCGCACGCGTGGGCCCTGCTGCTGGTTGCGCACCTTCTCGAGCTGCTGGAGCTGGAGTAGCTGCGGATCGCTCGGCAGCGGCCTCCGCCGCCAGCGTCGCGGCGCATGGCCCGCTGGCGAGGCCGCCGCAGAGATCGCCGTCGAGAGGGCCGTGGGACTCGGGGCCCCCTGGCGCTGGCACTCGGCGATCTCTGCCGCGGGGCTCGGCAGCTTGCGGAAGGCGTGGCCGCTGTCCTCCTTCGCGATCTCCTCGCGGCGACGCTTCCTGGCGGCGCGGTTGGCGGCCTTGAGCTCGTCGCGCTGCCGCGCGCGCCCTGTCGCCCCCCAGTCCGCGCTCGGGCGCGGTCGCCGCCGGCGCTGGCAAGTGCAGCGGGCGCCGGCGACTCGCTGGGCCAGCGCGTCGGCCCTCTCGTTCCAGAAATTCCCGCTGTGGCCCTTGACCCAGCGGATGTGCATCTCGATGCACTGGCAGGCCCGCTTCCACGCATGGATCGCGAGGGCCGCGAGCTCTGCGCGTTCCTATGGCAGGAAGGCGCCCTGAATCAAGCCCAGGACATGCGTGGAGTCATTGCCAACCTGCGCGCGGGTGTTGACGGGGGTCAAAAGAGACTCCGCACCTTTGGCGGCACCTCGTGCCACCAGCCAGGGAAGGGTCTCCGCCATCGCCGACGACTCTCCAGTGTTGGACGTGAGGTGCTGCCCGCCGATGAACCTCGGGTCTGGGATGTCGCGCGTGGCCGTCCCGCAGGCCACCAGCAGCGGCTCGCCCTGAGCATTCGGCTGTTTCGCACGGTTTGCTGCGAGCCCGCAACCCGCTGAGGTATTCTGGTGCTTCGCTCTTCGCCGCCCACTGTCGCCGGACCATCGGCGTAGATGCTGAAGGCGTTCGACAGGTCCCCGTCCGCGTGTTGCTCGGCCGAGGGGAAGCGCGGGATCTCGCGCTGCGTGCGCCCCGTCTCATAGGAAAGATGGGGGCCCCCGAGCTGCCGTGCCGCAGGCTTCTTCGGCGGTCTCCCTGCCATCTCCTGCGCGTGAACCTCGGCGCGCGGTGCAGCCTCGATCGCAGGTGTCGCCCGTCCCGCCTGGCATCGAAGGAGTGCGAGGATGCGGTCGCTGGGCGAGGCGTCGCAGGGTGTCGCCTGACGAGATGCGCATCGCAACCAATCGCGATGGCTCAGCATTGAATCGATTTGGCCTGGCTCCTTGCGAATGTCGAAGTAGCAATCGGCCTGGCCCCGGCCGCCCTTCGTGGAAGTGTTCGCGGCGACGAGGTCGAACCCCGCCATCGGGTCAAAAAGCATTTCGCCCCT